TTATCCACAGCAGACGTAGAGTACATGGTTGCGTGATGCGTTTATTCCCCTGGTGTCTATCAATGGCCACATGTGTCCTAGAAAGCACGTAAACGGCGTCCGCTAGTGACACGTGGGCACGAGAGCACTAAGCGAAGATAAGGGACGAGCAGTTATTTTTTGTCATGGCCACCTGCCTACAACTTGTGATCATAATCAGGAGAGCGGCAGATAGAATAGGATAGCACAGTAGATACTTTTCCTTAGATCTCGATATCTGTTACTGATTCACTCCGTAGACGCATATCTACAGAACAGACCTTTACCAGAACAATGAACGGCCGTGCGAACGATGCCGAGAGCACTGACCGCAATATCGGATGATGACCGTTTTGTTCTGACGTTTCCGTCGTGCTGAATGTTGTCACTGTGTCACCGTAAAACAAATTGAGGCCCATCTGTTTAGTGCTTTCGTTGCTACTGCTGTATTTCCTCAGCATGGGAACTCAGCTTAGCTTCGTCTGCTAAAAAGTATCACTGTTCAATGCTTATTTGTTTTCGCGCACTGTTTATTATAATCGAGCTTAGCCTAGTAACCTACTTATAATATTTGTCCACGAAGAACAACTTATACTATCGCATATATCTACCTCGCTTGGATCTGCGAGCTACACGTAGAATCGGTGACTAGAAACGGGCGTCACGCACGTAAGAGGAAACAGGGATTTTCTTACGTGTCGCCGCTTCTCAAGTGCACTGTCACCTTTGCTGTCCTAGTAAGAGACGAACATGTGCTGTGCCGGGCGCGAAATCTTGGCCAATTGTTCTCGCTGACTTAGGCCAACTTTGCCTATTTGGTTGCTCTTAGCAGTTTTCCTAGAATTGTTACATCGGCTTGATAAAAAAATCTATACCAGTATAGGACTGACACTAAGTGTATACCATGGATTAAGCTAAATTTTGAAGAAAATAGGTGACTGACTCAGATTTTACAATACATGGTTTAAGAATAGTATTTGAAGAAAAGAAGTAAAACGCAATGGAAGCGAAGAAGTTTTATTAATTAAAAAAAAAAGAAAAGCTTCTGTTATATTTGAAAGACTTTTGCTGTTCAGCTTTTTGTAAGAGGATTTGAGCTATATTGCTTACGCAGGCCGAGCCTAGAGCTCAGCCTCCACGGGAGGTCTTGTTCCGCCAAAGCTAATTTTCATTTCGTCGTTTAGAAGGCAGTTGAACGGTAATAACCCGTCATGCTTGAACAAATAGCGACTGTCGCTGGCTACTGTTTTGACCGTCCGAGAACCACTTACTCGATCATGGACTTCGGTGCTATAATTGGAGCGTTCACAAAATTGTTCCCTATACAAATTAACCGGGTTCAATAAATGCAATTAGACGGTCAGATCCATCTCAGCAAGCTGATAACAATCTTTACCGTAATACACAACACCGAAATATGATTTTATTCGCTCTAAAAACGTGCGATTCACGACACTATTGCTTAAAGCAATAAGAGTGACAACTGTGTATCTGTGATGTCCGAGATCCGTAAGTGAATTTGCACCATCATTGTACTACTTGATCCATGTACAGGTTCTAGGGACTTATATAGACTTGATAAGCTTCAGGCCAAGCCTTTTCACTAGTCGTAACTATGTATGAATCGTAATTAAGAGAGTATTGTCTTTGCTGCTGATCCCTTCACAACAAGACTAATGCCTTAGCGAAAGGCTTAGGATACACTTAAAAAATCACTTATATAGTTGCAACTTGTCGTCTAGTTAAATAACTTAAACTTAAAAGTCAAGCTAGAAGTTTAGAACTTCTTAAAGCACAGATGATGTGCTCTAACAGGCTTCAGTCTATCGCACGCGTATTTATCTGACGTATGTCATTAATAAACTCATATAGTAAAATTTTTTTCTTCGTGGGCGAGAATGTACCTACGATCGTTGCTATTCGCGAGCTTAACATTTATTCATATCCAAGCTACATTTGTAGAATTAGATTCTAATGCAGCGCGAAAATGGACTGACTGAAAAAAAAAAAACAAATATGTTGTTCTTTCGCTAAATTTTTAAACTTTTTGAAAAAAATTAACGCTAATTGTCGTTGAGATATACCACATATTTGAGTCCTTGGTAGTTGTATGCACGATTAAGACGGAACGTTTGTGCTTCATGACCCGCCGTACGACTAACAATGACCTCTAAGATATTGAGAAGGGCATTTTTGAAGAAAATTGCACGTTTCGTTAGAAGAGACCAGGGCCATTTTCATGTATCAGCAGAAGGGTCCAATGTTTCGGAACTCTGAGCGACATGCTGACTGTCGGAGTTCGGGTGAGATCAGCAGTCCCTATTTGGTGTATTAGTAGTTTGTTGGCCTACTTGTAGTTAGAGTATTATCAGCTTCTAAATAAAATTGGTGAACCTGTCTACCCGCCAGCGAAGATATAATGTAGATAATTGCAAAGAAAACGTAAATACATTTGAACGCTGCAGTTTTATATAAGTTATTCTCACATAGCAAACCTATCAAAGGAATTACGGCTGAGAATGATCAGACCAATTGGGAATCATTCTTACTTATTGGCTGACAGGAGTGCACATAGAGGAAAAGTATTTAATGCTGTAGGTCTCCGTTTACATTTGGAAAACTGTAAAAAATTCGGATATTATAGTACTGTATTAATTATTGAAAATTTGGCTATCCCTAGCTATCCGCTGCAAAAATAATGTCCACTTTAATTCAAACAATGTTTAAGTGAAAGGTTAGGTAGAAGCTGAAATTTATCAGGCTGCCAGCAATCACTAGCTACATTCTCTGTCAGTTTTGCCTTCCGCTAGTAATCGCAGAGCTTTAGGGGATGCTTGTAAATAAATACTGTTATCAGCACGGACACCTAAGACGAACATTAATTAATTTAGTAACTATTCTCATTAGAAACTTAAGACACGAAGTGCAAGCTTGGCCCATGAACTTTAGGGTGCTGTTTATGTGCCGCGATACTCGAACAAAAAGTCGCCGTTTCTGAAACAAGGATTTAGCCACCCAAGCCGTAGCCATTATCAGATAGTAGGAAACTTACGAAAATGAAGTAAAAACAACATAATTAACAAAAAAACATATCTTGGAACCTAGAGTCGAAGAATTCACACGCATTAGCGTGTCCTTTGTCAGAAAAAGGCACATTAAAAGCCAATAAGACAATGAAAAGCTAGAGCTCGCATAATCGGATCGACCATTTTTGTAAAAGAGAAATGTTCGTTTCAGAGCAGCAAAACGCCTAAAGTAAGAATATAAGGAAATGGCAGGTAGATAGTTGGGTGGAATAAACTTCGCTTTGACAGGGCTTGATTTCCAAAGACGAACAGTTTTAGATCGAGTCATTCTTGGGATAGGTATGATAATAGGTACAATGAAATCGCGTATTGCTTGAACCGATGTACTAATCCGGAGAGAAATCTGGAAATTATTTTCTATCCTGAAAGATACTATAGCCAAAGAAGCAGCGCAAGAACGTCGCTAACGGTTCACGTTTGCCATGCGACGGCCTACTTCTTTCTTAGAATTTCATAGTGTTCTGCAGAAAAATCCGAAGTTCCTCGGATGAAAATGCTAGTAAAACATATTCTTATACACTTACACAATCCGCGTGTGTAGAATAGTAGCTAATTAACAAGACGCAATACAATCTTCGACTCTAGTTACACACTGGTGCTTCGGTCGGTCGCAAGTTACTAAGTTGCAAACGTTAAACCATTGAGGTTATTCTGACAGTATTTGGTTGTACAATAGCATGAGAAACATTTTGACACTACATAATCTATTTTTAAACACTACACGACTTGTATGAGTAAGGAGCCTTTCAATAATCAATGCTGTTGTTTTATACCAAAATATATGTTATAGAAAAGTAAAAACCACGAAAAACTAACGTAAATTTGCCGCTAAATGAGCTGCATCAATCCAATATCGTAATGCATCTAGCTTCGAGTGGACTCGAAATTCGAAATAAAGCTTTTCATATTTATACAGAGAGAAAGGCGGACAGGGTTATCGTCTATTCAATTATGTAGTGCTGCTTAATATCATGAAGCTTTAAGAGAAACTCTCGTTTCTAAAGCTTCTCGAACAATGGCCGAAAAATGCTTGCTAGGTAGAATTACGAACATCAACTCACCTTCACTCTGCATATGCTCCTCTTTGATGGCCATTGCTCAGATTTGGGATGACTAGCAGGGCTACGTGCCTCTAGTAGCCACCTCCCAACGGTGTCGATAGACGGCACAAACTTAACGCAACTTGAAAATAGCTATCCATCTCGTTACCACATACTGATCGCGATATTGTGAACATTTCCCTCTTTTGCACTGCACGTCTAAGTTAAGCCAGTTTACGAGAGCCTGCACTTCTAAGATTACTCAGTCCAGCCAAAGTAGTCGCTAATCCCTATAGCCGCTGTTTGCTAGCTCGTCAGAAATCCTTTAAGTTAAGTAGGACGCCTGACAGTAGCCATGACGCGACCTTACCATAGCTTACCTTTTGATACGCAACCAAACATTTTTAGCATTAATTAGCACGGACTACAAATACTTCAGGATTATTAATCGTCTTTGTATCTATTTCAGCACGATGACATGCTTTATTACAAAAAATAGCACTAGTCAGTGATTTAAAGTGTATGTTAAGTGTAATTAAGTAATGCTTTAAAAATTATTTCGATTAAAATATGCTTGAATGTTTCGTGCTTTTTAGACATCGGATTGTACGAGTACGTTTAAGGAATACGATAGTTTACCTATTTTCAGGAAAAATACAAATTCAAGGAGTAAATAGAATTCACAATATTGCTGTGGTATCTTCAAGGACCAGATCATACATTGAAGCGTAAACAATTCCCAATAGTTCTTAGAAATTTCCAGCAAGAGGAAAAGTTTCTCGTTGTTTATTCAAGTAGTTTTGCCTTTCGTCCTGTTATACACCTATGCAATACGACAGCAAAGACCAAAGGTAAGGGCATTTGGTGGAACTTTATTTACAGGCGTCGTCATTTCGATCTGTAATGGTAGCACCGTTGAGTCTTGTTTTCCGCACTAATCTATGCGTCTGCTGTTATTTGCGTTATTGAATTTTATTGTATTATGGTAACGCAGTCTCTCCCTCCGTTTCGTCGTTTTGTTTAGTCGTATTATTATCCAAAGACATTAATATCTTCAATGTTTGTATTACATAACCCCGCTGGTCGATATAGCAGCGTATTTCCTAACGCCTCATCAGCTGGTCCTCACTGACCGGATTCATTTGAGAAGTCCTTAAAGATCGTAGAGAGTAGGCTTCCGGTATGCCCTATGATACGGTACTTCGGGAATGGCCGCAATTTCGAGTGGACGGAACAACTTCCGTGCACGCGCTCGACGTTCTTCATCCTTTGTTTTTTGCCAGGCGTCGTGCACGTCTTGTAAGCGGCGTCTTTCCATCATCTTCAAGTGAGTCGCATGCTTTAAATCTCTCTTAGTCATCTCCACTGGAGGCATGAAGCGCCTGCAGAACGAACCGTCCATCACCTGCATCCTGTTTTAGCAAGCCGGAACAAATTTACCATGAGTGAATACCTGCAAACGAAGGACTAACCAGCTATATGAAGTCTATATATATGAAAAAGGCTGTTTATGTGTACCGAGTATCCTAGAAAGAGACGTATATACACTGTGAATAATAATAACTTCAGTTTTATTTACACTCGATTAATACTTACATTGCAAAGGACTCTATATAAAATGCACAGATTTATAATCGTTCTGGTCAATACATTGCTGCTAAGGGTCTATTGCTTTATGAACATTTGATGCTGCGGCGTATTTTTGCTTAGTTGCAGTTTTTAAATCTTCCAGTTCCATAGGTCCTCTTACGTAGACTATCTTTAAGATACCCCACAAGAAAAACTTACTGGGATAAAATCCAGAAAATGGGCAAACGACTTTACAACTGATCTGTTTCAAAGATTCTCATAAAGATATGCTTCTATGCTTCTAGGTGCTCTGTGCCTTTGCTAATAAAATTCGTCATCTTTACAAGGGTCGTTCCAAATACGTGCTAGACAAATTCAACTGCAGTAAATTCAAGTCACTGGCATTAGTACTGTATTATCAATAAAAATAATAATATATACATATAATGTGAGCATGCGCGTCGGGGACATTTTTAAAATCATCATCTCCAGATATTGTCCACGTATTGTTATTTGCAGCATTTTCGTAGAAGTAACAGTAGATCGAATCTTGGACAACAAACAAGGCCAGGGTCAGAGAAGACGACGATGTCAGGCATTGACCACCACGAAGGTCAGATCGGAACAAATCAGCATGCTAGTGATGGTCTGAAATCGAATCAGAGCGTAGACACATGTTGTTTCTTGTCAAAAGCCCTCCCGTCTAATGAATGTCCAATGGCGATACCGGACGTAAAACTTGAAACCTTAGTGAAAGGTGCCTGAACGCAGACGATATAGACTCATCGGATGCGCGTTTTACGGTTGAGACTCCCGTCTCTCGCCTGTCCAGGGATATCATGAAAATTGCTCTACTGCCAGTCCTCCTATTCGATTTGCCGCAGCTGAACCACACGGGGCCTGGCAAATGGAGTCGATTTGCTTGAAGTCCGTTGGCTTCTCTACTGGCTCCTTAGGATATCGTTCCGACTAGGCCATAGTTTAGAACGGTAGATGAAACGTGGCGTTTGAGGCAATCCTATCGCCAAGGCTGTAGAGATTCTTAGAAGTGAACCCGGTACGCCTATGCCCGCGGGCAAGTTTTTTTTTATACTGGAAGAACGTTCCTGATAGATCGATAGGGGAGCTACCTTACGCCTTCGAGGCCTTCACCGGACCTTCGACGGCAACTTGCGCGCCAAATTCTCTGGAATAGAACAAAGAAATGTTTGAATGCGTGAGTCGTCACAACCGCGACTTAACAGGGTGAGGGCTCGATAAACACCCGGCCGGAGATGCTTAAATTGCGAGGAGACCAAGCAAAGCCTGAAGCCTTGTTGCCGTAGAATCGGCTCAACAAACGGGGCCGCCGATGACCCATTCGTGTTTGACAATGAACCGGAGGAGCCTTTTTTCATAGCCAACAAGCTTGCGGAGGAACGGGTTTCAGACAAGCTGTTTTTGAGGGAAAAGGCAGTTATCCGACGTATAGTTACTACTATAGAGCTACTGGAACAAACCACGCTAACGCTGTATTGCAGGTGGACGGGGTCTCAAATTGTTCTCCAAGGGATTCGTATGCACCTCCATACAACTGGGCTAGTGTCAGGTAAGGGTAAGTGTAAGTAAGGGATCCGACCGTCGAGCTAAACGTAAGCCGCGTAATAAAACAGCGCAAAAAAGGCAGTATTAACACTGTAAGCCTAATACGGCTATATCTTCAAGCAGTCAGACAGACTCACCCATACCAGTCTTATACAGCAGACGATCCAACCAGCAATTTACCTCCGATTCACCCCCAGCCATGGTGAATCCCATTCGCGCAGAGGCAGGTAATAATGAAGTTGTATGCTGTGCAACGACACCGTCGAGCCCTCATTCAACACGTGAACTTCTCCAGTAGTATTGGCGATACTATGACAATACATTTTTGCGTACGTCGACTACCGCACGCTGAGCTCTACCGCGAAGTGAATATACCCGCGTCGATTACGTCGTCAGTGCCTTCACTGGTGTTGATTACTTAACACCCTAAACATTATCAGCTGATATTGGCAGATCAGCAGACGACAGACGGCGCTTTGCATTGTCGGGGCTCTACCAGTCTAAACAGATGCTGTTCGGACTCGCTAACCCACCCGCGATGTTGGGCCTTTAAAATACGAAATGACTCTCATCCACCTCGAGGATGTAATACTTTACTCCCCTGACTTGAATGCCCACATAACTCATCTCTGGCGGGTCGCCGACCTACCAGCCTGTGGAAAGACGAAAAAAAGAAGATCTCGGCCACCAGTATTTTCCCGAAATCAGACAAAATTTTATTAGTGGAAGCCCTGTTTACTCCGGCATCCGCTAGCTTGAGCTCAACCTATGCTTGCCGACCGTTCATACGAGATTCACGCGCGCGTATCATCAGCTTGTGCTGCGCCGTGGCCAACACAAAGGACTTGTTCTGAAACGCCGACCATGACGAAACCAGTGGGCTGTTGCAATCGAACATAGCAAAAGAAGTACGTCCTGTGCCACTTTCGGCAGGATCTGGAGTCGAGGTTACAGATGGCAGTGTGACCAGGTTAGGAGCAGTACTCGCCCAGGCAAAAAGAGCGGATCGTTGCTTACGTTACCTGGTGTTTCAAAAATAACTAGCAACTGCGCAGTTTCTTCGCAGCGAGATAATGCAGATAGAGAAACGAACTCCTAAATGATATCAATACAAGGTACGCTAGTATCCCAGTACTAGCACAGTCTCCAATGACATTACTGGCATTTATTGATAGGACATAAGTCACCTTTGAAAATCGGCGGCGTCGAAGGCATTACGCATTACTCGGTCGTGTTCTTGGGCGCGCGCCTCCATCCGTCCACGCAACTGACGCTGCGAGATTTGCTCACTAAGTCGATCGTATTGGCCAATACCGCCACGGAACGGTTCCTGCAGAGAACGAAATGAAGACATGTGATTGTCGATTACGGCTTGGATATCCACTGTGCGCAAGTTTAGAAACTTACGTTGTATTTAAACATTGTACTAATGAGGATACCGCGCAGAAAGCTCGGTTCATTTGTAGTATTGGTAACATTTAAGTTCAACGGTAGTATATAAGTGGAGCACAGGGTGAGTTACACGTCTATAGTCGAAAGTGGGTTCTGCTGTGTTAAGTAAGCAGCTTTTGAAAGTACGAATACCGTACCTCGACGAACGCTGGTATCAAACGACGGTCTAAACTTTGAAAAAGTTAAGTCAAGGGCTTTTATCACATGGGACGTTTCATCCGATAACGCTAATCTGTCAGGAGTAGTGACAAGCAATTTATTTTCAGATATTCAGATTCAGTGCGGGCCACTTTGCAAACCAACAGGAAGTTGTCAACTCAATATGCGGTCTTCAAGTGATTCGAAGCGTATCAAAGCTTTGTGTGTAGAAAAAGCCAGTTTGCAATGAGTGCTATACAAAAATAGTAGCCGAACAAAATGTAAAAAAAGTAAATAATGTTCGCCTCTGTTATTTGTATTAGTGTAAATGTAAATCGATTCCTTTCGGCTGACGGTCAAAGGTTGTCGACTATTGTTACCATAGCCATCATTTATGGGCGCTGAGGTCCTTAACAGTGAAGTGAACTGATGGAAGGCATGTTATCGGAGTATCACCGTAACTATTCATTCAATAATAATTCATAATTCCCAATAGACGATTGTTTAGAAACATCGAACGCTGTCAATTGGTATTTCAGAATTGATCAATGTTGTGTATTACTTTGGGTCCTCTTATGTAAATCCAGCTATCTTATGAATTATGATTCTATTTTATAATATTTGTGGGTTCATCTTGAATCAAATTTGAGCTTCATAACCCCAAATCTAGTTTATATATCTGATACATACCCTTTCTTCTACAAGGGACGATACAAGATAGACGGTTCCTTGGCGACGCTCAATATCGGCAATCGAGGGACTTACAAGGCGTTCCTCGTAATCGACGTTAGGTTGGTAGATCCGTGGAATAAAATAACCCTCTGGGCGTACACGTTTTGCGGCCATTCTGTTCTTTGTTATCCCTACACGAGGCTGACGTTAATAATTGGCTGTTTTTTGTTCCTTTAAGAGTTGGAGTATTGGCTAGCTCAGGACGATAGAAACAAGCATACAGTCTTGAATTGAAGACGAGAAGACTGAAGTGATGAAAGATAATGTCCCAAATCGGTTATATATATATCATTGTCTTCGCAATTGTCCTTCTACATCTTGGTTAAGGGACAAACATAAAAACAATAAAAAAGAATATATCAAATATACGGGTTTTAGTTATCTAAAGCATTTATAATATAGGAGAAAAGAGATCGTCGTTCGATTGTCTAATATAAAAGAATCTAGGAACAATATTTTCATTGCCAATTTCTTCGAGAAGTATTCTTCGAGAAGAGCTGTACGGCATACGACGCTTATAGAAATAAGTGGTGAAGAAATGAGTGGTTATTTTTGGGTTTTTTATGGGTTGAGTAGTTCTGAGATAACTTTGAGCCATTTAATATCTAGCAGTGTCACAAGTAGAGCTATTTCCTAGCGGGCATTTAACGACATACAGAGAAATGGGCGTAGATAAAATGAAAAAAAGTATACAATAGTCTGTACCAAACTCGTTGATTTGAAGAACAGTATTTACCAATACTATTATGATGCTGCTCATAGTAACCAACGCTGTACCGAGGTCTAAATTGTTGACTTTCATGGCCGGTACCCTTAATATAATAATATCCTTAATAATAAAATAAAAGGGTATTTTTTATTTTTTCGATATTCAAATAATAATTTTTAAATCCGTTTCGAACGAAGTATGTCAGTTCATTGGATTTGATATGATTTACTACATATATTGTCACGTATGGTGCTCTGAACATATGTGTAATGTAGATAGTTAGTCATCACCATGGTAACCAACGGGATCTGAGAATAATGAAGATACAACTTAGCGAACAGGCATACGCCTTCCTACCCAGTGTGATTTTCTGCTGTGAAGATACTTCCTATTACTTGGTGATCGTTGCTTTTGAATGATTTGTAAGGTCGAGACAGGTGCTCACTGTTTTTCCTTCTTATATTCCTGCTCAGTATAATCAAATGTGTTTAAAAACATACTGTTAAAAAGCTCGTTCTTTGCTGAAAAAATTATTGACACCATTTTTCGGGTGAGCAAATTTACGTTGACTTCGACCTCGACCACCGACGGATCTGTCGACAGTGAAGATTATAATTTTTGCTACTTATTTTTCATTGTAAGCCAACCCTAAAGCGCTGTCCAGGTAAATAATAATCCAGGTAGAACTGAGAGGATCAGTGTCAAAAATGGCATCTTCGAGTGGTAGAACGTACTTTGTTAAACCAGAATGCCGTAAGTTACTGCTGGCAAAATCAGGAGCAAGCTATATGATCTGACCAGCTGCCTTGTGGAACAAAGAGAGGGCCTTCCACCGCGTACGACTATCCACAAATGGCAAAAATAAGCAATGTGAAATAATGAACAATAGCGAAGCAGTACCTACCGTCCGGTGTAATATCTCGCTCTACGTACACGCAAACATATCGAAAGTAGGGACAGGAATATGACGGAAGGCGATACATACGAAAGGCCGATACCTAGGTCTAATTTTGGTGGAAAGCGCAATAGAAAATTGTTGAAGTTTCACATTAGCGACGTATCGGAAATTGAGAAAAAGGATCAGATGAACAGATTCCGTTTTCGCTATGATGTTGCTCCACTGAAATATCTGTTCAGGTTTGGATCCAAGAATTTTGACACACATATCGGTGGTAATGGTGACATTGAGATAAGAGCATGCTCGGCGATCCAAGCCAAGCATGAAAAATCCGCACGAAAGTTAGTAGCCTGCGTCTTTTCGATCGTCAAGTGGAAGAAGGGTCGACATGTTATGGTGTCTAAAGCGAACCATTAATGCAGCAGTACCCAGACGATTTCACACGTTGTTGAAGTAAAATTTTCAGGTTCGTTTGTTCTACGTTATTCAACACGTTATTCAACACGTTATTAGTGCACAATACAAACTATGAAATAATACGTAAAGAAAGCCGTTTCATTAATCTGCTCACTTTTGAAGTGACACCAAACTGCTCCGTATGCGCATTTTGTGCAGATGGTATTGTATGTATATAGTGGTTTTGCTATAAAGAAAAAAAGGCCAATTTCGCTTTTAATATGGCCTGACCGAGATACGGAAACCAGATATATGACATATATATTCGAATGACGCATTGTATAACAAGATCAGAAGCAGCGATTTATTTAAAGCAAGGTTCAGTACAGGCAGCGACAGTGAATGGCGTCTCTTTCGGGAAGCGCTCTGTCATTGTAGCGATCTCTCACTATCCTCTACCGAGACCGTGGAATATCTCCAACTTTTGAGTAAAGCTAACGAACCTGGACGTTTGCAGTCTGTATCATTGCAATAAAGTCACTAGAGAGCTCGATGTCGTAATGATACAGGCAGATGTAAATCGACCCGATGTCTCAGTGCTTCGTCTCAAACAGTGATTGCTGATGCTTGGACAGACAGAAACATTAGGTAGCTTAGGTTATTGAAGGTCAAAAGCTGAAAAAACCTTTAAACTCAATATCTCTATCTGTAAACTTGTCTCTCGTTCCAACGAAATACTATTGTCCTAGCTTTCTTCCTCTATGAAAACGGAAGAGCCGAATCGTTTGTTGAGATACGCATGTTTCTCATCGACGACCTGTGCGACAGGCTCGTACCTGTTGTCGGCTAAAGCAATGGCTCGTACGATACGCGTTTACGGCCCCTGAAGGTCACGCGCAGCGGTGTGAATATTGGTTCCCACTCACTTAGTTCCGGCCAGTGGGCAAACGGAAAAAGCACACAATGCTTCTGCGCCTGGTTGATGTTTGTAGTGTCGCTCAATGTGCGTCTCAGTGCGGGAGCGAGGCTATTGATTGTTGCTCACAAGTATGACGGTATACAAACGAGCCAAACAACACGATCGAATGAGACCTTGATTCAAGTTACACGAAGTCTTGAGTACGTGTGATGATAAAATAAAGGCGGAACAACGGATCGTATCGTAGAAGCAAGCCGACGAGGTCGGCTAGACTGACCTATAAAGGCTTATGTTTTACAGATGGGAGCCGCTACCCCTTAATAACTAAGGAAATATATAATTATCATACGAAAGTTACCTGTATAAATCACAGCAAGACATATTCGCAACCTCATCTGCACATTTTACTGCATAACTATACAATTTACAAGTAATAGAATTTTGTTAATATACAATGAGAAAATAAACGTGACTACACCGACATTAGCGCTGCGTTCTCATTACAGAATTGATAACAATTTTGCCTCCACAACATGTCGTTATGCCGTCATGCTATGCCATTCTAGCGTCGGCCAAAAACTAAATATCATGTATCCCTAATTATCCTGCGTTCGACGTAGCTTGAATGAAATTGCCAGCCCAGCGCTTAAACTCTAATCGAGCTTTAGTCTATCTCTGGACAAGTAAGTTGTCAAGCCATCGCCGTGCAAGGGGCGGAATGTCATAAGCAAGCCATAGCAGCCACAGCGGTTAACGCCGTGGCTGCTGTGGCCTTACAGAGTGACTCAGCATCGGGCGATGCCTTATTACGTCTGCATCGGCAGAGGCTAACAGACGATTTGTCAGTTTAAGGGTAGAACCGACAGCCGAAAGTAAAATAATTTGGTGCGCCACAGAGGATAACTGTCATTTCAACGGCACAGGCCAGCGAACAGGCGCCATAAGCGAACGGGCGACCCAAGCCTAACCTCATTCCGTTTCCAGGCCCCCGCAGCCCTACTTGACGCTAACAGCTGCGGCGTGCCGCCTTCAAAAACCCTAGCTTCTGCCCCCAGTCAAAAGAAACATATACAGACCACTGCGTTGAAGCACACCGTATACCTACCTAATCGTTGCTCTTTCGCAGATGAAGGTTACGAAGCGTCTGCATCTATGGAAGGCTCTTTCTAAACGGTCAGCCTGAAGCTAGGGTAAAATATTGCCATCTGGGACCAGATGCCTAGCTCTGGAAAACGTTAGTTCATATAAATGAACTAATTCAACTAGTACAAAAATCATCGAGTTTCTGATTAAAAGACACTTGCATAGGTATACACTGTTAGATTTTTACTAAGACCACAGTACTCTATATATTTATGGGTGTGTACCCTTTTTTTTGTTGCGTTTCTTGTTAGTTGGTACATCGTATTCTTACCGGGCAAAACAGAGGTGTTTATCAAGCATTGTTTAGAGCTTGAAAGGCGAAACAACTAGCAAGAATTCAATACCCATTCGATTGATCATGCTAGGAAATTGCTAAAAGTACAGTGAAGCGCATTGGTCCAGTTATAGGAAGCAGAACCTCGAGTAGAGATAGTACATTTTTTGGTTTTGTAAAAGCTTGTAATTTATATTAGTCCATCAGCCAGGCGTTCTAGTTGTCTACGTAACTCTCGATACGAGCACGTGTATAAACTGTCTTACAATGTGTACCTCTCATTTATTGAAGCTTGCTTATATCACAGAGTTGATTCTGGGTATTATTCACAACATACGTCTGAGAAATGAGTTTCCCATACGTTATAACTATATGAAGTTCTGTAGTACAAAAATGCGGCATTAAGGACAAGGAGAATGAAAGACGAAGACCATAATTAATTGGCTCACCGTTAGTCTGATCGCTCGCGCAAACGCTACGCTCCTAAGTCGCTTCGATCCAACACAACAACAAGAACTCGATCTTGTACCTTAGGGACACAATCTCATAGCATCCATAGCGTTCAAAAACGAGTTCGTGCCAGCAGACAAACACGGCGAATGTTTGTACGAGTTTTTTGATGTTTTCGCTATGCTCTTGGAACCTGAAGGCGGGTTACTAAGCGAGGAGCCTCCGCAAGTATGCCTAACTCTGTGATAAACAAATCGACAGTGTATCGTCTCGTCTGTTACTTTTCTAGGCATACATTGATGTAGCATTTAGCAAAGTGGGTCACTTAGCATATAATACATAGTAGCGTGGTAGTGCTACTAGTGGTCGCACAGAACGTCGGAAAAATTATTTCCACTCCGTCTTATTTTTACAGCTCGTTCGATGTATTCAAAATGATCTGGGCAGCGATACAAAATATGGATCACACTGCGTTTACTACACATAACTTAATCAGGCTTTTTTGTTTTTTACAGACTTACCACACTCTTCGTAGATTACTTCCAAAACACACCGACACCAAATGGCTTAAGGTAATAATAGCTGCATGAACTAACCTCAGAGTAGCTCAGTATCTAGCTGGCAGGCGCGGAACAAGTGTCTAATGGCGTGTTTGTTGCGCCGTTTCGCTAGAAGTACACTTCACTTGATGGCGAACGGCTGCTGCTGGGCATGTTACAAACCCATAGCGGCAGGGTGGGTCTGGCTACCATTAAGAGGGAGGCGGCGGTGGTGGAGACCCAAACGAATCTAGAAGTGGCCGTTCAGCCGGCGAGGGCGACGACTATACCACTTTGAATGTACAACACATCGATATCTACCACCTAGAGAAGCAAACCCGTACTTCTGTTGGTGTTGCCGGTGAGGGGGAAATAAGAAGTCTCAGTATGCCAAGTATTGAAAATGCTTTTAAGAGACGCCTCCTAGTCAATCTAGTATCGGTAACGTATCGAGGTATACTTCATACGCTCCCCATTCTTGACGTTATTTGCATTTTAACTTGCTATCAGCAAATGTACAGCCACACGGAATTAGATATCTGATCTGTAACGAGATGCGTGAGCCATTTTAACATTAATTCGGATATGACGGCATCTATTCCGATAGACCTTAACAGTTTCAGTACTAGGCGCAACTCTCTGCTATATAAACGCCAAGAGATACCGCTTTACGCAGCTGTCAACGACTATAGCGATATTTCATTGAAATCGTGTGTACGAGCGCAATGGGTGGTAAGCTAAGACCCAGCGCAATAGACTAGCGTATGTGCTTTACCGGAAACATTCTCTTTTACATGTAATTGCACTTACTTAAACGGTTACAACAAGAGGTCATAGGGCCACCAAGTTCGGTTGGTTAGAGCTTTTTACAAGATGCTTTTAGTGCATACCGAGCGAGATAAGATTCGGGCTTTCTTTCTTACTCGCGATGTCAACATTAAGACAGCACTGCAGTGGCAATCTTAAACAGTTGAAGGTCCCGTAAGCAATCTCACACACTTTGTACCCCGAATTCGTATGGAGATGCATACATGTGTAGCACGAAGACTACTTCGTTTTTTATGAAGGATTAGCGCAATGAGATTTATGTGCCAGCTACCTAATGGGGGCCGAGTGTGGAACCCGGCCACGATAGCGAGACCTGGTTTTTCTAAGATCGTCACCAATTAGTTGTAAATTCCTCGCCTATGTTTCACTCTGTACTAGCTCGAATATTCGTTTAATAGTATGAATATAGAGAGGTAGTATAGATGCCACCGAGCCGGAATAACCGTAGGTGAGCCCCCATCACGTGACCATCCAGATGCTTGCCGGAAGGCAGAATTGCGCCTCTGATCTCTCCACAAAAACTTCCCCTTCTTCGTCATTGAATTTAGCCAAACTTTCTTTCCTAAGTTAATCCTTGTTGAAAGTGCGCCCGACTAGAACCTTGCCTTGCCTCCGTTGCTCCCTGGACTTAAAAGATTTAATTCCTACTGCTAATGCTCTTTTGACTTTGAAATTAGTGACTTCCTCTCCGGCTGTGTGTTAAACGGCGCTCTGTGTGCAATTTGTCGTCCAGCCAGCCGACGTAAGCCGCAGTGGACACACCGGTCTGAATGTATCTTGCCCATCCTCTGCAGGTAGGATTGGAAAACCACGTGCCCTGTGAGGACCGAATGAGATGGTAAGTAGCTTCATCTTCCGCTCGTTCAATGCAGGTTTTAATTACAAGGATGTTGTCTTTGATTTTAACATCTTCTGCTTTACGTGGGGTGGCGTATCACCCGCTCGCCAGGCATTTATAATAGTTTCCCTCGCTTCCTTTTCTGGCTTTGCCCAGCTCAGCCTTCGCTTATGGGCCTTGTGCCCTCAAAAGCTAGCACCAAAGATGCTTCCCAGCTAGCAGTTTTGTACGTCTGCACTACATTGAGAGCTAGAGTCCGTTAAACCTTACGGAGACGGGTCTGAACAGAAGACGGCGGGATACTCTAAATCGCTGCTCCAAGGAGAGCAGTGGACTCCTTGACCGACGTTAACAGTCTTCATTTCCCTTCCATGAGTCTGTAAATGTTCGGTACCAATTTCCTGATTTCAACCGCTGTCTCTGTTGCCTTGAAAGCCTTTTCTGCATAAGGGGTGTCTTTTACTGTTTGATCTAGGTAAACTCCTAAGCACTTAATTAATTTGGCCATTCAGCCTGATGGAAATGCTTAGATAAGACTTTTTTCTCCGCTTAAGCCGCAGGCCTGACTAAGGCCAGTTTGAGTCCATTCATAGGAAAATCTTAGGCAGTACCTCGCTTGTCGCGACTCGTCTTACTTTGTCGCCTGCACAGTGACCGGGAGATCATTAGCAAATGCTATAAATTCAGGCGAAGGACTTCGCTACATGAAAATTCTGCAGCAGGGGACCAAGTATAAAACCTTGAAGAATGCCTGCAACTATGGGGAATATTGTCCTCTTGTTAACGACATATTTCAGGGTATCCGGAGATTATCCTGATGAGGCATTTTGGGGCGTTTTTCCTCAGGCGTCTAAGCATCGTTTTCTCTAGCAAGCTGTTGAGCGCATTCTAAGCATCCAACATCATCATCAAAAACAGAACTCTTGCATCTGTACGAGGCTTGCTTGCTAATTTTACCCCCTGTAATATCCGCTATTTTTCCGAATCCGAGCGTAAACTGTTCTCTTTAGTCGTCTCAATGCTTCCTATGGCTACCTCAATTTTTTTTAATTAATTATATAAGTAGGTAGATGTAACGGTCTTCCTGGTCTTTGGAAAGAAAACTGCCAAAGTTTTTTTCCTAGGTGGCAGAGAAAGTACCATATCAAGGAAGCTTCGTAAACATCTTGGCAACCAACACAAAAAACATTTTGAGAAGTACCTTTGTTGCCGTTAACAGCGCTCCGTTTGTAGTCTTTTTTAATTTAAGTTCTTCTCGTCGATCTTGTCTGTCGTCACCTTAGTAATCCTCTCTTCTTGCGTTCGGCTAATCTTGTAGACTGTTTTGGCAAAAGAAAATTGTTGAGGGCAGAGTCCTCTAATAATATTTTTCTTTTTTTTCGGCACGCCTGTTCTCGTGGCTTAGTTCGTACGGTTTACCTTAGATGGTGTCTTTGCGGCTGTCCCGAGAGATTCTGCCGTCATTCTTCGTTACTTTTTGAGATCTATGCCCCTCAGCCACTACCACAAGCTCCAGCTCTCTTCCAGCTGCGCTCGGTCTTTTGGGCCACTGCTTAGCTTCGTGACATCCGGACCGTACTTCTTCTATTGCTTGGTTCCACCAGTACTTTGTATCATCTGATCCCTACCTTTAGCATGCACGGTAGCCCTTTGGAACGTATCTTCTAGAACAGTCTACAGGCTATCTGCGTCTATTGCACATTCCCTTTGTCCAGTGTAATGCTGAATCGCCCTTGCTGCGGCTTCTTCACCCTAGAACCTCATTCTTGGAGGTGGTACAAGATCGATTTTCTCTTTTTCCTCTGCGCTTGATATAATAGTGATTGCTCAGGGCGTCAACCTCATTCAACACTATCCATCTGCTTAGCGTATCTGTTCATAACCCCCTACAGATTAAGAAATTTACGAAGTGGCCACACGCGGCCAAAGTTGGTTGCAATCATGTAGAGGTTGTCAGTCATTTCGCTAAAGCTTTACTCCTGCAATTGGTTCGGCGAAGCTTCTATATCTTCGGGACTGCATTGAGCTTCCTCTGGACGACGAAAAATTGTTCCAGCTCTGTGACTTCGCGACCCTCTCTAAAAGAGTGCGTAGATCTTCCAATTATCCTTTGCTCGTGTGGCTACATTGGCGAGAGGGGTTTGACTTTTCTGCTGCAAACATAGATAATCTAAAGTATTAAAAATATCAAGGCTTCTTCTCGCTTATTATCGATCGTCTTACGAAAACTGATGACCTCCGCCTCAACTTTTGTCTACCCGCCGTCGCCTTGCTGAAATTTATGGACTGTTTTAGCCTCACTGGGTCCGTCGTCTATACCGACTTGTATGAACTGTTTCTACTGTCTTCGCATAATCCCTAAGACCAGTTGCGTTAGAAGTGAGTCCTTAATTTTGCTGCCTTTAGTTCTCTTGCAAGATTCTTTCTCACTCTTTGCTTAATACAAGCCATATGAACAAGCCGCTGTAACCGTGGCATAAACAGCACTCCCGCAATTATAGCGGAGAGCTTTGCTCTTCCATGATGTTGTCCCAAGGCGTCTGTGCTATACTTCTTCCTCCTTGCACTTGTAAGCCTGCTAACCCGTCTTCTTTCATTTAAAGCAGCAAGTAATCGTAAAGAAAAAGTACTGCAGCTTCGTTGCAACTCAGGCTAACATAGAGGTTGGCATCGTAATAGCAGGCAGGTTGATTTGTTTTTTAGGAGAACAAAGAAAAATAGGTTCCGTCAATCTGCTGCTGTTTCTGGGAGACGAGTTGCAGTCGCTGATTGTAGGAGTTGTTTATATCAACGCAGAAAGGCATCAGTCACGTAATTCAAGCAAAAGAATACGCATAACGGAACAGTGTATATCAGGTCTCTTGCAGAGGATCCGTATTAATGATCTGCGTCTTTCTTTTCGGTCTTTGTTCCTATATTATCGCAGGCCACGTAGCTAATACAAATACATAACATCCCTTTTTCTCGTTATTTGTTTTCTGCTTAAAACATGTGGCACTTGTGCTTAGTAACCTGCACTAATGGCGCCGGCTAGCGCATGTTCGCTATGTCTTCTCTGTTGAGGCTGCCCATTAGTATAACGCAACTCAAGACAAAACGAATCTTTGTCTCGACTGTCCCTCAATTATGCGCCACTTTCTATGAAGATCGTCCCGCTTGCTTCATGTTTATGCGTTTATATGACAATGGTGCCAGGATATGCAAAAACAGTTTGCGGAAATTGGGTAGACCACTGCCACAACTGCTTTCTGTGTAGCGTATCCAGGCAGTCGAATGGTTTTTGTTGAAAACAGTGATCGGATAGATCCTAGTACGAATCGCATTACGAGAAAATCGCGGTTGTAGTAGGCAGCGTGCGGTTGTACTCAATTCGCTAACAATCCAGCACTAGAAGCACCAGCCTCCGA